AAGACTTGTCTACTTAATAGGGACGAGGTCGAGAGTGGAAGAGGACAATATCAACAATTACCTTGTCCCGCCGAGGTGCCATGGGTGTAGGGTGCCACTGGGTAGCAATGGAGCCACAGAGAAGGCCCCAGGTTCAGATCCTGGGTGAACCTGAAAACCTGGTTGTGCCCTGGGCTGTCAGTGATCCTGGCTGGCTGGAAGCCTTGGGGGGGGGCTGGGAGGGGCTGCAGTGGTGAGACCTTGTTGAGAGCTTCTTCTTCCCAACAAATAAATAAATAAACTTAAGGGAAATGGTGATTACTCTGGGACAACAGGCATCCACTGGCTCAGTCCTGGGCAAAGCTCAAGGGATGGCCATGTTACTGAGTATGATGGGAGCCGATGAACTGATGAGCATCCTCAAGGAGTAGACCAACGCATGGCGTGAAGGCCAGGGAAGCAATAGGTGTGCTGGGAGCTAGCAAGACAACCTGGAGAAAAGGCGTGATGAGGAAGCGGGGTGTGGCATGGACAGGAGAGGAACGGACAGAGAAGAGAGATACGGTGTAAAGCTAACAGTTCATGACACGGCACATCAGGGCCCCACCGGGGGGTTCCAGACCGCCTCTCCAGCCCCCCTGGCATCATCGCTACCTTTGAAATTGATCTCCTGACCACAGTGCACTGTCTCTGGCCTACCAGGTGCCCTCTCCGAGTGGGTCTTCACACAGACAGTTTTCTTGGCCCAGACCCTCACCTGTCCTCTGCTCACCCTGAGCATCACTTCCCAAGGGAACCCTTCCCTTGTCTTTTCCAGTCCCCACTTCGTCCTGTATTTTCCCTCTCAAAGCTCCTCCCATGTATATTTTACTTGCTTAAAACCCACCTTTGCCTAATTTGTTCAATGCTCTTTCCCATTGGGGCCTGCCGTAGACTCATTTCTCAACAAATATATATGGATTGAATGGATTGCATGTAAAAAGTAAAGCAAGCTCCCCCCACCCTCTTTTTTTTTTTTTTTTTTTTTTTTTTTGGCAACTAAGTTTCCAAGAAAAATTTCAGGTAATGAACTGGCTAGTTAAAAGCAGGAAAAAGCTCAAAGATAAGAATAGGGGTCTTCACCAAGTACTTTTCTGAATGAACCTCTCATTTCAAGCACAGTTGCTCACAAGCCGAAGCCCTTACTGACAGGAACAGTCCCGGCCAGAGACCATGTGGATGCTGAGGCGGTGTGACACTGGCCTCTAGTGGATAAAATGGAGACTACAGCCATCTCAAGTCTTGTTACAGAAGGCGGCAAAATCCCAGTTGCCTTCGTCTTGCATGTCTACCACATGAAGTGACTTTTTATCCCAGTACATGGGAAGTTCGCTGTCACATTTGTGCAGCAATTAGGTATTGAGCATTCCGAGCGCTGGAGTGTAGAAGCACTTAATTCACATAAGAGCTTCTCCGAGAGCCCGTCTGAAATTTCACATCAAGCCTGAGTACGAGCCAGTTTTCCCACCTTGATTCCTTGAGTCTTTCCTTGAGTCACCCCTCCCTCCCTTCCTTCCTTTCCTTTTTAAATTCTTGCCAGGGGGTGCATGCACTATGGGGGGGGGTAAGAAAGAAAGATACCCCCAAGGGAAAGGTCAGATCACAATCTCTTCTCCATCTCTCTCTCCTTTAAGAATTCTGTGCATGCTTTTGCCTTCTTTCCCACTTAGGCCAGGCAGAATGGCTTCTGCAAAGAAGGGTGGGGAGAAGAAGGGCCGTTCTGTCATCAGCGAGGTGGTGACCGGGAACACACCATCAACATTCACAAGCACATCCATGGCCTGGGCTTCAGGAAATGTGTCCTCAGGCACTCACAATTCAGAAACTCGCCATGAAAGAGATGGGGACTCCAGATGTGCGCATGGATACCAGGCTCACAAAGCTGTCTGGGCCACGGGAATAAGGAACTTCCCATATCGAATCTGTGTGCGGTTGTCCAGAAAACGAAACGAGGATGAAGATTCACCCAACAAGCTCTACGCTCTGGTGGCCTATGTACCCGTTACCACTTTCAAAAATCGACAGTCAATGTGGATGAGAACTAACTTCTGGTTTTCAAATAAAGTTATAAAACCAAAAAATAAAAAAAAAGGGGGTGGGGGGAGGCATGCATGCACACATGCCCAGCATTTTTCTCAGGCTGCCAGGTCCTGGGACTCAAATCACACAGTTAGCCATGTGGGATCCAGCTGCCTTAACCACCCCTCCATAAGCTGGCTTTTTTCTATTTTTTTTTTAAAATTATCAGAAGGCACATATATTTGCCAGACAGAGACAGAGAGAGAAGGGGAGAAATCAACCCCAGTGGGACCTGGTCATGCCAGTCTTTTCTCTTCCATCCCTCCGCCCTGTTGGGATTTTATGCACACATGTACGTGTGCTTTCATGTTTTCCAATTATCCATGGCTGGGACTCAAACCGTGGTTGACCATATGGGATTCAGCTCGCCTTAACCACTAGCAACAGGGTTGGACCAATTTCTTTTTTCCTAAATAACCTTTTCAGGCTCCTAATGTTCTTATTGGAATTGGAAGGTTGTAGGCTACCAGACACTTCTGAAATAGAGGTGCATTTTAAATCACTTGCTCATCAAAGGGTAAGCATTATTTATGTGACAAGGAGAAAAGTGTCTGGGCCAAAGAAAGAAAAGAAGCAGGTGCAAGGGGCTGGCAGGTGGCGTGGTGGTTAAGGTGCTGGACTCCCACATAGCCAACAGCAGTTCAAATCCTGGACCTGGTGGCTTGCTCCCTCACTCTCTCTCCCTTTCTGTCTTTCTCTGGTCACACTGAATAATAATAATAACTAAATAAAATAAAATACAATGAATCTTTTTTTGAGAGTGATTTTTACTATAGGGCATGTGCGCTTGCTGGAGAGACAGAAAGTGAGAAAACACCACCCATGGGGGACGGCTATGCTGCAATCCCTTCTCCTCCTTTCTCTTCTAGGGATCTGGGACATAGATGCACACACAGCCCCATGTGAATTTTAAGCTGCTGGGTCCAGGACTCAAACCATGGTCCACCAAGTGGGAGTCCAGTGATAGAACTATTACACCATTTGCTGGTCCCGATGAATAATCTTTAAAAACAAGAAGAGGGCACAAATTTGAGATGAGAATATATGAACCATTTTGCCTTAAAAATAAATCAGATGTTGAGGTACATTGTCGCTATGTACCTTTCTCCTCTTACTAGCTCACGATCTGACATTGTGAGGCCCTGGAAAGTGCAGTACGCTCATTCCAGCGGGATGCTTCTCACTGCTCTTGCTTCCTTGAACAGTGTGCTGTCACTTTTTAATCTCCAGGTTGTGAGGACATGGCAGCCTACCTGTCTTGCTCAAGTCCTTCTAAGCAACCTTAAGTATCTTCTTAATTGCATACAGGCTGCCACTCAGGAAAGAACATCTTTTTTTTTTTTTTTTTTTGAGAGATTTTCGCTATAGGGCGCATGCGCTCGCCAGACAGACAGAGAGAGACATAGAGACAGAAAGCGAGAAATCACCCCCCAGGGGGGATGGTCACGCCGCAATCCCTTCTCCTCCATTCTCCTCTCAGGATCTTGGGCACGCACGCACACGCGCCTGGTGTGAGTTTTAAGCCACTGGGTCCAGGACGTGAACTGCGGTTGACTGCGTGGGAACCTAGTGACATAGCCATTACGCTAACTGCTGGTTCCCAGGAAAGAACATCTTTAAAACCAAAATCATTGCCTGAGGAAAAGGAGCTCAGAGAGGGAAGGAGGCCATTTAGACAAAGCAGAGGAGATCTTTGCACTCGCTCTGAGAGCGGGGCCACCAGGATGCTCTGACAGCAGCTGCACCCTCTTCCTCAGGGCCTTCTCAGGACAGGGTCCACAGGAGAGGCGGCTGAGTTCCAGGATCAGACCTATTCAAATGTACAGGTGTAACAGCCTGGGTAAACAAGTGACTCTGGGATGTCACCACTTGGTTCCATTCTTCTCTGGCTGCCACTTCTTCAGGCCTGGGAGCCACATAACGTCATTGTTTTTGATCACTTCACTGAACACCCTGCTTTCCTGACACCTGGACTTCAAACACATGTTTAAAATAGAAGAGGACTATGCTCACGTTTCAATTAGGTGGAACTGTCCCAGCTGGCCTCAATGTGAGTATGACAAGATAGGAGTGATAAAGCATATTTTCTTCTTCTCTTCTTTTTCTTCCTTCCTTCCTTCCTTCCTTCCTTCCTTCCTTCCTTCCTTCCTTTCTTTCTTTCTTTCTTTCTTTCTTTCTTTCTTTCTTTCTTTCTTTCTTTCTTTCTTTTGAGAGGTTTTTGCTACAGGGCCATGAGCTCACTAGAAAGAGAGAGAAAGAAAGCAAAAAAACACCCCCCCCGGGGGGGATGGCCACACTGCAATCCCTTCTCCTCCATTCTCCTCTCAGGATCTTGGACATGCATGCACATGTGCCCAGCGTGAGCTTAAGCCACTGGGTCCAGGACTCGAACCACGATTGACTACATGGAGTCCAGTGACATAGCCATTACGCCAACTGCTGGTCCTGATGAGGCATAGTCTCAACAAGCCTCTGGCCTTAAACATTATTCTTCTCTTTTATCTTCTTATATTTAATAATTATTTAATTTTATTTATTCATTCATTTATTTTAATTTGACCAGAGAGAGATACAGAAAGAGAGAGAGAGGGAAAGTGAGAAAGCAAGCCACCAGGGCCGGTATTTGAACCACAGTCGACCATGTGGGAGTGTCCAGCGCCTTAACCACCATGCCACCTGCTGGCCCTTCTTTTATCTTCTTTTAAATTTTTGCCAGCACTCAAAGCCACCAGCTCCTATCTTGCTGCCAGCGTCTGTTGAGAATGGAAAGCCTGTGGTGATAAACGGGGCGTCGGGTTGAAGCAGGCAGTGAAGCCACGCACTGTCAGGAACCTTCCAGGAAGGAAGGACCTGGCCCAGGTGACGCCGGCCCCTGATGCTGGGGCGCCTACACTGACACCTACCATTTCCTTGAAGGCGCTTTCAAGAGCCCCGATGACTAGGCACTCGTGAGGAATCTTCTTCTCGGTGAAGAAGCGCGTGGGCGGGGTGCTGGGGGAGCCGGGGGCCCCCACCCCTCCGCGCAGGGAGGCGGCCCGCGTCAGAGTCCGGCTGTTGGCCGCGCTGCTCTCGGGCTCTTCCCCCAGGCAGGTCGGGGGCAGGACGGCGGAGTTCTTCAGGATCTCCACGATGTCCTGCAGCTGCTCCGTGACGTGCTGCTGCAGCAGGCGCGACGCCACCACGGCGGCTCCGGAACCCGCGTGGCCGTCGAACAGCGACCAGTAGTGGCAGGAAACACCCTCGGACTCCTGGAGGGAGAGAGCGACAGGGAGGTGTGAGAACTGCAGTGGCTGGAGCCCAAGGGCAGGCTGGCACTGAGGCCACAGGGCTAACAGTCTAGTGGCTGTCTCTGCCGTCCATGGTGGCGCCAAAACACCGAAAAACGCTCTGGAAAGGTCTCCGGATTGGTCAGGGCTGTTACTGTCACACGAGGCATGAGACGGTCCTGCCTCTCTCTCCACCTAGGAGGAGACCAAAGGGTGGCTATGGAGGGCAAGCTCGCCTTTAATTAATGGGAAGGCCTTCAGGTAAAACTCCACACACGCCAGGAGTCTGTGGGAGTTCAGCCTTGACCCAGGACGCCTCCCTTTCCCACTGCTTCAACCCTGGAGTAGGTTTGGTCTGGAGTCCTTGGAGAAAGTTTGGCCCTCTTAGCAGGTTCTCCGAGAAGAAATGCCAAGATCTGTGCACACGGGTTACGACTCTTACACTCCACCCCCTCCCCATCCTCCTCAGTCCAAATGCTGAGTGTTTACAAAATGCTTCTCCTCTAGACATTCAGTCTAGTCCAGGTATCACAAGATGCGGCAAATTTAAATCTCCCTTTCATATTTCCTACCTCCCTAGAGTCTCCAGGTATCACTCAGTCTCCTTCTGTCCCCTCCTCCTTAAATTCTCTGTCCCCTCCAGAGGGATGGCCATGCTACAACCCTTTCCTCCATTCTCCTCTTGAGATCTTGGGCATGCATGCACACATGCGTGGCATGAGTTTTAAGCCAGAGTGTCAAGTATTCGTCTGTTCTTTCTTTTTCTTTCTTTCCTTTTCGAGAGATTTTTGTCATAGGGCACGTGTGCTCACCAGAGAAACAGAGAGACACAAAGTGGAAATCACCCCTCAGGAGGGATGGCCACGCCACAGTCCCTTCTCCTGACCATTCTCCTTGGGATTTGGGGCATGCACACACACATGTCTGGCATGAGTTTTTAAGCTGCTGGGTCCAGGACTTGAACTATGGTTAACTATGTGGGAGTCCAGCTACATAACCATTTCGCCATCTGCTGGTCCCAAAGTAGTTTCTTTCTCTCTCTCTCTTTTTTTAAACGTTCAATCACTGTGCATCATTACAGCATACCAAATGAATTTTCCCATCACGAATATCCTGTATATTGCTTCATTCAAAGATATTACCATACATATTATCATCAACAGATAATTTTACATTTTTGTGTCCCTTAAATGTTTTGCTTCCCTCTTTTTCCTTTTGATTCCCTCCCTCTCATCCTCCTCCGTTTCTGAAGATCCTCCCATACTGTCTACTATCCACAGTTGTTCTCTATGCCTTTATACTTTCCAGTCTTCCATTTTCTGCCATAGAATGCAGACATTCAGTACATATTGAGTGGGGACACATCATGCCTCTCTTTCACAGTCTAGCTTGTTTTACTTAGCACTACATCTTCCAAATTCATCCACTTTCTATCAGATGCCAGGGTCTCATTGTCTTTTATGACTCAGTAGTATTCCATAGTGTCTATGTGCCACACTTTTTCAATCCATTCATCTGTGCGTGGACATTTGGGCCGGTTCCATGTCTTAGCAATTGAGAATAATGCCACAATAAACATGGATGTACAAATGTCTTTCCAACTGCGTGCAATCCTATCCTTTGTGTAGGGAGGCAGGAGTGGAACTGCTGGATCTTACGGTGGTTCTATCTGTAGGTCTTTGAGGAATCTCCCTATTCCTCCCCATGGTGGCTGTACTATTTTACACTTCCACCAGCAGTATAGGAGAGATCTTTTCTGCACAGCCTCACCAGCGCTAAATATTTGTTATTTTTACATTGTAGCCATTCTGACTGTGGTTAGGTGGTATCCTGATGTGTTTTTGATTTACATCTCCCTTACGATAATTTCTTACTAAACACTAAATAATCTAGCAGTGGTTCAGATGCCAAGTCCAGGCCAATTAAGTCAGAAACTCCGACGGTGGGGCCCCAGCACCCTAGCTCTCCAGGTGACTGTAATGAGTAGGCAAATTTGAGCATCCTGACTTAATGCAGAGGAGGCTAAGCAGTCTGGAGACCCACAGTCTAGCCCCATACTGCCCTCAGCTCCCTGTACGGCTTTAGATAAGTCAGTTATGTCTCCCTGAACTGGCCAGACTAGTGGTGTGTGAACTGTGTTCCCTGGTTCTAAAGTGGCACTTAGGAAGAGAAAGTGGAGTGGCATTTATGTGACGAGTCCCCTTGGTTCTAATTTCAGCCAGAGCAGCGGGGCTTTACTAGTGATAAACATCAGCACTGTGCAGAAGATTCTGGTCAAAAGGTTACAACTGTTTACAAAGATTTCTTTGAAATCTCTTAAACGAGATAAAGCCAAGAGGCCGTACAATCTCCAGTGCACTCCTATGCGGAGGAAGTAAGTGAGGGACACACCATTTTGGAAAATACAACCACAATGTGGGTTCTCACCATAGCCTTAGACTCCAGCTCAGCTATTAAAGTTCAAGAGACCCTAAAGCCAGAGATACATCTAGTAGCGGGTCTCGAGAACCCTTCCATCAGTTAACGAACCTCATGTAGCAGAGAAGGTTTTATTATTGCCCTACTCCAACTATTCACTCATTTAATCCTTACTCCAGTCCTGTGAATGACCATTCTACCAGGTGTGGTTATTAGCCCTGTTTAATAGATGAAAACGAGAGAGAGCGTACTTCTCTAGGTCACCACCTACTATTACACGATGTGGCTGGAACCAGAGTCCACACCCCTAGCCATCAATCCTTATGCTAAACTGAACCCCTCTCCCACCCGCCCTCCAAATTCTGCCCACCCCAGAAGGAAAGATTGCCTTAATTTACTAGGCACCATTTCTTCACTTTGCAACCTAAGTTGCAGCCAGAATTTTTTTTTCTAGAACACACAATCTAATATTTCTCTAAAAATTCTTTTATTTATTAAGAGAGGACACACACACACACACACACACACACACACACACACACACTTCCGACAGGGTCTTGCCATTCTGCAATTTTCCCCATAGAATTCTGGCCAGCCAGGACCATGAGTCAACCCCGGATCTGAGCCCGGGCCTCCCGTGTGGCTCCGGTGCCATGCAGCAACATGCAGCATCCCACCATGTGTGCTACCTTGGTTGGGCCCAGATGCCCAGCATCTGACAAACTGTTCTGTGAGCTGGCTCCTGTCTCTGAGCCTCCAGTTTGCAATCTCTGGGTTAGTCTCTGATACCTCTCCACCGTCTAGTTCTTGCTCAAACCTCACTCACACCAAACTGCAGAACTTGCTGCTCATCACAGACCACCACTCTCCCCAGCTTCTTTGCAGAAACCCCTCTTAGCTTTGAGTACTTACCTTAAGTATCATCTCCCCCACCGCACCCAAGCACTGTATGGGCAGCAGCCTTGAGGGCCAGGTAAGGTTGGTGAGATTCCAGAGTCTGGCAAGGCAGACCGAGGAGCCTCAAGGTGTTTGGAGTTCTGTGTGATACACTGCCTCGGCAGGGAGAGGGCCTCCAACGCTGCACTGCAAGGAGGGGCTAGGATCTGAGGCTTATAAAGGACTGTCCTGAGGCAAACAGGGTCTAGAGTAGGGTAATATCGATGCACCTGGAGAGGAGACCAACGACTAACAGATTTTTCTTTCTTTTTTGAAAGATTTTTGCTATAGGGTGCATGCACTGGCTGGAGAGGCAGAGAGTGAGGCAGAGAGACAGAAAGCAAGAAATCACCCCTCAGGAAGGATGGCTATGCCACAGTTCCTTCTCCTCCATTCTCCTCTGGGGCATGCATGCACATGCACCTGGCATGTTTCAAGCCACTGGGTCCAGGACTCGAACTGTGGTCAGCCATGTGGGAATCCAATGTAGGAACCATTATGTCATCTGCTGGCCACCCAAGAGATGTTCTGAAGGACAATATGAGGCTGGAGAGTGCTATATGGTGCTTGGGCTGCGACAGTGCTATCAGAGAGTAAAAGTTTACTTTTGGAAGTAGCACAAACAGCACGTGCTGTACACGCATTCTGTGAAAGACACGAGTGGCCGCGAACATGAAGAAATGCTCGGCATCGCTGACCATCAGGGAACCGCAGGTCAGAACCACAATGAGATACCATCTCACTCCAGTTAGAACGGCAATGTATCCTAAAGACAAAGTCTAATGAACACTGGCGAGGGTGTGGAGAAAGGGGCACTCTTTGACACCGTCTTCTTGTAAATTAGAACAGCCATTATGAAAAATAGTATGGACGTTCCTCAAAAGACTAAAAATAGAATTGCTGTGTGATCCATCAATCCCACCAGTGGGCACACACCCAACGGAAAGGAAATCAGGATGCGTACAGATACCTGCACCGTAATGTTGATGGCAGCACTACTCGTGGTATTCCAATATGGAATCAGTCTAAGCGCTCATCAACAAATGAGCAGACAAAGAAAATGCAATATATACACCGGAATATTATTCAGCCATTTTAAAGGATGAAATCCTGCCATGTAAGGTTAAATTGGTGAGCCTAGAGGACATTATACTATGTGAAGTGAGCCAGGCATAGAGAAATACTTTTTCTTCTGTTTATGTAAAAATTGAAAGAAAAAAATGACCTCGAAGAAGAGAGATGGACTCAACCTCTGTGGCACAGCTGGCAGTGTACTGAATTGCAGACCTGAAAGCCAGCGTCTGACTGCAGGTTCAGATCCCCAGCTGGACGACTAGGAATACCCAGGCATGCGCACATGTGCTCAAGATCCTGACCAACTGGAAGCCTGGGAGGAAGTGATTGTAGTGTGACCAATCCTTGTCGAGGGTACTTCTTTCTCTCTGCTGCACACACACACACACACACACACACACACACACACCAACACACTCTTATAAATTAAAAAAAAAAAAAAAAACATAAAGAAGTGTTAGAGGAGGGGAACCAGCAGTTAGCGTAATGGCTATGTCGCTGGACTCCCACGTAGTCGACCTTGGTTTGCATCTCAGACCCGGTGGCTTAAAACC